CTCTAAAACAGGCATAAGTATTACATATACTGTCTATAGTTAAAGTATGCACTATTTCAGTCTCTGGAAATGTTAGAAAAGTATTATCAATCTCAGTCAAGGTTTTGTAACTGATGATATTTCAGTGTTTAGTATCAGGTATTAAGTACTAAACTAAAGCATAAATATATACACATCATCCTTATGTCTCATCTGGTTGTTTATTAATTTGTAATATGCTATATTTTCTATTAACCATCCGAGATTTATGATGATACAAATGGATGTAAGGGAAGGACTGAAAGTTATTTAACAGAATTGCTACTGTGTAAGTAAATAGTAACAATAAAAATCAAACAAAAGTATGAACAGAAACATATTTTTTTCAGGAAAAAAGGAAAAGTTATGGATGTTTTTTAATCATGCATATTTTTTAAACCTCTTTTAGCCATTCTTAGAGCATAATGCACTTTACCACCACCTGTACAGTATAGTGTTAAAACATCATTCCTGGTCTCTACAATGCTATCAAACTATGGGAAAATGCCAGAGAGGACAAGTTCAGTTAAAAACATATACATATACTTCCTTAGTTCTTCATTTTCGATCTGATTTTGAGAACTCAGGGTGACAAGCCAGATATCTAACCTTAGGTAAAATGATACAATGAAAATAAAATCCCACTCACATGTCTGCATTGAATAAAATGGCTAAGAACTTTCTATTTGCAGGGAAGGTGCTAGTTTAAATGCAGACAAAAAAAAAAATGTTCACTTACCACAGCCTTGTTCATCAGAACCATCCCTACAGTCTGGTTTACCATCACAACGCGCAAATTCGCTGATGCAGAAGCCGCTGGACACACAGGTGAACTCATTGGGTCCACAAGCTGTAGAATCAAAAAACAAGGTTGCAGATATATGTATTCAGTAAACATAAATCATAGTACAATACAAAGTCTCCCCCACAAAATTTTAGTAAAAAAAAACAGAATAAAACGTGTATCATGAGCAAAATCAAGCCTTCAGCATAACTTGAAAATAATGATGAAAATTATTTACAAAATAGAACACATCTAATATCCTGAAACTAAACATTAATTTCATTAGAAGAGAATGGTGTTAGAAGCTGTTCCTTGGATCTGTTTCATTATACTTAGGGCATGCTTTCCCATAAATAGTTACAGCAAAAAACATAACTTGGACAATATATATACATATATGTGCTTATACTTATATTTTTCCAAACAACCAAACTCGGTAACTCTCTTGCATAAAAAAATGTATTCTACATATACATACATGCACACGCACATGCACACAGGCATGTGCATGTGCACAAACACACACACACACACAAATATGTACACCACATGATATAGTCAAAGAAATCCACAGAGATAACAGAAAGTGTACCAGACTTTATATTCAAAATTTTGATGAAATACAAAGGTTAAATCCTCATTTCTTGCTTTCCCCCAAAATATATATTAAGATAATACTCATACTAACAACACAAGGAAGAAAGATAAATACGTGAACATAAAAATGATATAAGTGATTTTTACAAAACAGACACAATGGAGTACACAATACCCTATTGCTATATACTCCTTACTAAGACCACATCCACCATGGCAAAAACAAATGCATATTTGGCATAATTGCCCTTTTGCTAAATTACTACTCATTTACAGCATATAAAGCAAGAGTAATACAAGTTGATTTCATAATTCAAAATCAAATCAAATTTCTTTTTTATATATTCACTTTTATATCCATCATTTCCTATGTATATCATGATTTTTTTTTTAACTACAAAGAGATTCCCAAATAACAATAATCCCACAGATATGCAAGGCTCCATTTCTACATCATTAATTATTTTCTTACAATGACTAACCCTGACATTCTATTATATAAAATAGTTCAGACAGCATTCAATGGTAAGCTGCTAACAATCTAAGAATTAATGGTTAAAACTTTTTATAATGGTTAGATGCATTGACATTATTTTTTTTTTACATCATATATAATTCAACAGAATAGAAACACCTTCATGTATATCAAATTACAGTCTTATTAAGTTCAGCGGATCTAATCTGCAAGTAATGCTAATAAATCAATATTACAATGATAAAGAATAAGCAATTAAATCTAAGAAATTTCACAAAAGGATGATGTTATAAAATCCTAAAAAGAAAATGCTTAGGCATGTACACTGATTATTCAGCTTCTTAGTTAACCCATATAACTAGGACACATTACAAAGTTAATGGAACATTTATCCAACAACACAATCTGAGGCACTCACACACACACACACACACACACACACACACACACACACACACACACACACACACACACACACACACACACACACACACACACACACACACACACACACACACACACACACACACACACACACACACACACACACACACACACACACACACACACACACACACACACACACACACACACACACACACACACACACACACACACACACACACACACACACACACACACACACACACACACACACACACACACACACACACACACACACACACACACACACACACACACACACACACACACACACACACACACACACACACACACACACACACACACACACACACACACACACACACACACACACACACACACACACACACACACACACACACACACACACACACACACACACACACACACACACACACACACACACACACACACACACACACACACACACACACACACACACACACACACACACACACACACACACACACACACACACACACACACACACACACACACACACACACACACACACACACACACACACACACACACACACACACACACACACACACACACACACACACACACACACACACACACACACACACACACACACACACACACACACACACACACACACACACACACACACACACACACACACACACACACACACACACACACACACACACACACACACACACACACACACACACACACACACACACACACACACACACACACACACACACACACACACACACACACACACACACACACACACACACACACACACACACACACACACACACACACACACACACACACACACACACACACACACACACACACACACACACACACACACACACACACACACACACACACACACACACACACACACACACACACACACACACACACACACACACACACACACACACACACACACACACACACACACACACACACACACACACACACACACACACACACACACACACACACACACACACACACACACACACACACACACACACACACACACACACACACACACACACACACACACACACACACACACACACACACACACACACACACACACACACACACACACACACACACACACACACACACACACACACACACACACACACACACACACACACACACACACACACACACACACACACACACACACACACACACACACACACACACACACACACACACACACACACACACACACACACACACACACACACACACACACACACACACACACACACACACACACACACACACACACACACACACACACACACACACACACACACACACACACACACACACACACACACACACACACACACACACACACACACACACACACACACACACACACACACACACACACACACACACACACACACACACACACACACACACACACACACACACACACACACACACACACACACACACACACACACACACACACACACACACACACACACACACACACACACACACACACACACACACACACACACACACACACACACACACACACACACACACACACACACACACACACACACACACACACACACACACACACACACACACACACACACACACACACACACACACACACACACACACACACACACACACACACACACACACACACACACACACACACACACACACACACACACACACACACACACACACACACACACACACACACACACACACACACACACACACACACACACACACACACACACACACACACACACACACACACACACACACACACACACACACACACACACACACACACACACACACACACACACACACACACACACACACACACACACACACACACACACACACACACACACACACACACACACACACACACACACACACACACACACACACACACACACACACACACACACACACACACACACACCACAAAAATAATGAGAAAAAGGGCAAACCGGGTATGCAGTTCTCTTCGTCTGAGCGGTCAATGCACTGAGGTGTTCTGTCACATCTCTGATAGCCTGGGATACAATCACCGTTCCTGCAAGTCCACTCACCAGACCCACATCCTGTGTACCACATTCACAGGGGATGTTAACATTTACAACAAAAGGATGTAATCGTCTAAGATTTTCAGCATATCATTTAATGAACAACTATCTGCTTCTCTAAAAGGATCACAGGCTGTAATGTAAATAATAAAAATCAGACAAACCAGGTGGTTCAGGTCTGCAGTTCTCTTCATCTGAGCGGTCAACGCACTGGAGTGTTCCGTCGCAACGCTGATAACTTGGAATACAGTCCCCATTCCTACAAGTCCACTCATCAGACCCACATCCTGTGTACCACACATTCACAATGGCCGTTAAAATTTTGACAACAATTGGATGTAGTCTAACAGATTTTCACCTTATCATTTAATGAACAACTGACTGCTACTCTAAAAGGATCACAGGTTGTAATGTAAATAATAAAAATCAGACAAACCAGGTGGTTCAGGTCTGCAGTTCTCTTCATCTGAGCGGTCAGTGCACTGAGGTATTCCATCGCAACGCTGATAACTTGGAATACAGTCCCCATTCCTGCAAGTCCACTCACCAGATCCACACCCTGTGCACCACACATTCACAATGGCTGTTAAAATTTTGACAACAAATGGATGTAGTCTAAATGATTTTTAGCTTATAATTTAATGAACGACTGACTGCTATCTTAAAATGATCGCAAGCTTTAATACAAATTATAAATATCAGACAAACCAGGTGGTTCAGGTCTGCAGTTCTCTTCGTCTGAGCGGTCAATGCACTGAAGTGTTCCGTCGCAACGCTGATAATTTGGAATACAGTCCCCACTCCTGCAAGTCCATTCACCAGGACCACATCCTATGTAACAATGATATTTGTATGTTTATCAACAAAATCTGTCTTTAACTACAGTATAGAACTTATGTTATATATAATATAATGGACACATTGTTGATTATACATGATAAAGAAATCTTAAGGACCATTTACTCATACCTATAATATAAATCTTAATGATTAAAATTGCAATGTTTACAATATGTAACACACCCACACTCAATCTAAAAGAACCTCAAGCAACTAGAAGAAGACGATGCTTTGTAACAATACAAAGTCTTTTAACAGTATTCAGACAAAAAATGTATTATATTCAAATTGCATTCACTAATAGTACTACTAACACATTTAGATCAAATGATGCTGACAATTTCTTTTATTACAGTTAGAAGTTTTAATACCTTATTTTCACATCATATGGAATTTGGATCAATCAAAGCATCTGATGCCCAGAACACTACTCCCATTTTCCCGTATCCCAATTCTGGTTTTGGTCTTCCCCAGCATGAAGTACTCCAGCTTGGCCTCTCCCATTACAGAAAATCCAGAGCACACTGGGTAGCAAATGCTTGCACAACTAAACATTGATTCATAGTTACACTGCTAAAATCTATGCATTTGCAATTTTTATTTGATATATCTGATTGCCTATTCAAATTTCTGAACAAACTATTATCCATTTATCAGGCAGGCTTGAGATTTACATGTATACATATATACATATATATGTACGTATATAAATGTACATATATATATATATATATAGATACACATACACACACACACACACACACACATATGTACATATACACATATATATATATATATATACGCATATATATATATGTATAAATGTATATATATATATTATATATATATATAAATTTATACATATCTACATATATATTCATATAAAAATTTCTCTCTCTCTCTCTCTCTCTCTCTCTCTCTCTCTCTCTCTCTCTCTCTCTCTCTCTCTCACTCACTCTCTCTGCATATATATATATATATATATATATTAATTCAGTCAGAATGATAAAATTCATCCACAATATGTTTATATAGTATTTTTCTCTTACTGTTCTTGGATTCCATGAACATGCTTATGCTACTTATATTTGATTCTCTCATTCTATGTTTGTTTATCTTGGTACTTAACACCTAATGATATATTGTCATTCTTTCATTGTTTCAGTTTAAGTCTATCCCATTTCTGGTTACCCTGTTCTGATCTTTCCAAATTTGAGGTACCCTGGCTTGGCTTATCCCAGTACCAAGAGGATGCTGGATACCAAATGCTTTGACTGATCCTTTAATTTCATAGAGTAAAGGACCTTCAAGCATAATAAACATCAATTATAATCATTCCTATCAATTTCAGTGCATTTAGTCTGTGAGCAGCTAGTAATGTTAACAAATTAAATATTAAAATGGTAAAAAATTAGTAAATTAAATCTTACATATTTCAAACACGGATGGTGTTATAATTTCATAAAAAAAAAAACATTTAAGCAAATACTGTGATTATTTAGTAATTTAGTTAACTCATATAACTAGGACACATTACAAAGTTAATGGAACATTTATCCAACAACACAATCTGAGGCACTACAGATTCCCACAAAAATAATGAGAAAAAGGGCAAACCGGGTATGCAGTTCTCTTCGTCTGAGCGGTCAATGCACTGAGGTGTTCTGTCACATCTCTGATAGCCTGGGATACAATCACCGTTCCTGCAAGTCCACTCACCAGACCCACATCCTGTGTACCACATTCACAGGGGATGTTAACATTTACAACAAAAGGATGTAATCGTCTAAGATTTTCAGCATATCATTTAATGAACAACTGACTGCTTCTCTAAAAGGATCACAGGCTGTAATGTAAATAATAAAAATCAGACAAACCAGGTGGTTCAGGTCTGCAGTTCTCTTCATCTGAGCGGTCAACGCACTGGAGTGTTCCGTCGCAACGCTGATAACTTGGAATACAGTCCCCATTCCTACAAGTCCACTCATCAGACCCACATCCTGTGTACCACACATTCACAATGGCCGTTAAAATTTTGACAACAATTGGATGTAGTCTAACAGATTTTCACCTTATCATTTAATGAACAACTGACTGCTACTCTAAAAGGATCACAGGTTGTAATGTAAATAATAAAAATCAGACAAACCAGGTGGTTCAGGTCTGCAGTTCTCTTCATCTGAGCGGTCAGTGCACTGAGGTATTCCATCGCAACGCTGATAACTTGGAATACAGTCCCCATTCCTGCAAGTCCACTCACCAGATCCACACCCTGTGCACCACACATTCACAATGGTTGTTAAAATTTTGACAACAAATGGATGTAGTCTAAATGATTTTTAGCTTATCATTTAATGAACGACTGACTGCTATCTTAAAATGATCGCAAGCTTTAATACAAATTATAAATATCAGACAAACCAGGTGGTTCAGGTCTGCAGTTCTCTTCGTCTGAGCGGTCAGTGCACTGAGGTATTCCATCGCAACGCTGATAACTTGGAATACAGTCCCCATTCCTACAAGTCCACTCATCAGACCTACATCCTGTATAACGTATTTGTGGCTGGAGTTAATGAAGACACAAGTCTATATGACTTGATTTTAAATGTTCACAGAAGTTAGTCGAAGAAATATTCATTCTACATTTTACATACATACATATATATATATATATGTATATATACACACACATATATATATATACATAACCAAAAAGTACATATAAATTTATCATATACATTATATTATATATAGCGTAATACATATCATTAATATATAATACATATCATGAATTATATACTATACATCATATATCAAATATATATATATATATTATATATATATACATACATATAAATACACATATATATAAATACATATATATATACACATATATATACATATATATATATATACACATTTATATATATATATGTATATATATACATACATGTATTTATATATTTATTTATATTTATGTATATATTCACATATATACAGATTGATAAGTTTATATGTATATATACATATATATATATATATATATATATATATATATATATATATATATATATATATATATATATATATACATATATTTATATCTACATGTCTATATAGATAGATACATATATACAGATAGATAAGTTTATATATATATATATATATATATATATATATATATATATATATATATATATATATATATATATATATATATATCTACATGTCTATATAGATAGATACATAGATTGATAGACAGATAAATAGATAAATAGATATATATAGATAGTTATAGATATATAGATAGATAAGACACACATACACACACACACACACACACACACACACACACACACACTGAGTTCTCTTCATATGAACATTCATATAATAGTCTACAAGTCTACTTACTAGGACTATGTCCTATATAATAATATATATTAATTTATAGCACTGAACTTTAGTATATACAGAGAATACAGAGAAGAAGCAAGAGAGAGAGAGAGAGAGAGAGAGAGAGAGAGAGAGAGAGAGAGAGAGAGAGAGAGAGAGAGAGAGAGAGAGAGAGAGCGAGAGAGAGAGAGAGAGAGAGAGAGAGAGAGAGAGAGAGAGAGAGAGAGAGAGAGAGAGAGAGAGAGTTGGAGGGGGAGGGAAAGGGAGGGATTGAGGGAAGAGAGGGAGGAGAGGGAGGGGGGGGAGAGAGAGGAGAGAGAGAGAGAGAGAGAGAGAGAGAGAGAGAGAGAGAGAGAGAGAGAGAGAGAGAGAGAGAGAGAGAGAGAGAGAGAGAGACTTAATTTAACTATCATTTTTTTCAAGAAATCCCTCAACTTGAAACACAAAAAAGTGGCTACCACAACCTTCAACAGGACAATTTCTGCCTGACAAAAAGAACAGGTACATTCAGTTACACTATGTCTTACTTTTTCAAATATTCACAAACCACTCACTTACATACATACATATATAAATATATACATACATATATACGTATACACACATATGCAAGTGCACTCACACATACAAGCAAAAAGATGTATGTATTTACACATGTATGTATACATATTTCTCTCTTCTATTTTTTCCACATACAAAATATTTCCATATTAGTAAAATCTACAACAGTGAAAGCATAATCAGTTCTTTGAAGAAGAAGAAGAAAAAAAAAACATGAAAGGAAAATTCAATACTTAGCAACAGTATGGAGATGTCAACATAAAACAAATAACTATAAACAATTATGAAGTAAAATAAGCAACATAATTAATCTGAATATAATTACATCAAAGACAAAAACAACAAATCAATGTTTACACAAAGAAAAGAAAAAAAGAGAAGAAAAAAAATCCCCCCACATTTAGATTTGCTATAGCATAGTCCTAACATTAATGGACGACATAGAAGAACATCATAATCTTTTCAGAACTCACTGCATCCTTCTTCATCTGACTGATCTAATGGACATTCAACAACACCATTGCATCTGTATTGTTGATCTATGAACTGTCCACTATCACACTGGAACTCGAACGGACCTGTTCCAAACAGAGTAAACTTCTCCATCGCATTCTATAAATGTCTAATGTGTCTCATGATGTGTAACTGATAACAATTCTAAAAATATTAACTGCATGTCCCCATTTCAACTGAACCAAGACATTATAAATCACATGCTAAAGTGCTAAAATTGCACATGACCATATACACATGATAAACAGACATGAACGAAATACGCAGGTTTATCAGTAT